TGTGTGTGTGTGTGTGTGTGTGTGTGTGTGTGTGTGTGTGTGTGTGTGTGTTGTTCTGCCTTTTTTGGACTCACTTTGATCAGAGATAATGCGTGTGAATGTAATAATAAAAAAATGAAGGCTATTGGGATTAGGAGAAGAAAAAAAAATAGAACCAAAACATCAAACCATGAAATTAAGCATTGATTGCAAACCTGTGGTGAATAAACATTAAATAAACACCAGACTGGCCTGAGTGAAACTGGATCCTTCAAAAGGAGGGAGGAGGAGGACGGGGTCTGCACAAAAACTAAATTAGAGTTATCTGTGTGGTGCTTCTCACCAGCACACACTGTAGTCTCAAAGACTTGTGCTCCTTAGTGACATATGTTTACATTTCCTGGCCATCACACTCAATCAGGACAAAACTGGGCCACCCCTGAACAACCAAACATTTTGAAGCAGAGCACAGCGTGATATTCGACTGCCGCCTTACCCTCTAATTAGAACATAAAAGCACAGCGGAGTTTGTTGGCCAAACTTAGAAAAAGGGGACTTGTTATGGTTCGTTCTACTGAGGAAAAAAAAAAAACTAGGGGGGTGAACAAAAGGTCAAATATAAACTGAAACTAATGCAAACACTGGTTAAGATGCAATATGTATGATTATGATTGGATCATTTAATAGGAACTATTTGGAAACGTGCAGATAAATCTGAGCATTTGTCACCAGGGAAGCACCAATTAATCAGCTACTGACCTGAATCGGAGTTGTTTGCTTGATAGGCTTATTTATTTAACCTTTATTTCAACAGGCAAAACATTAAGAACAGTTTCTTATTTACAATGTTGGCCTGAGGCCTAGGCTTAAATGGTGATCAAACTCTTCTACATTGAAAGGTCAAAGTTTTTATTTTAGGGGTGGGGGTTTAAAAACATGCTGAAGCTGAAGGTAGAAACTGACCGTGGCTACTAGAGTAATGGCAAAAAAACTCAGTTTAAAGATCACATGCATAAAATCTGATTAAATTCAGTTTATTTTTATGCAATCAGAAGAACATAGAAAAACAGTGAGAACGGCTGTGGCAGAGTGGTTAGGGGAGTTGTTCCTCTAATGCGAGAGTTGCCGGTTCACCCACAGCCTCTGATGGATCAGGAAATGAAACATCGCAATATTTCAGTGTATCAGTATTTTCTTACATCCCTGTTATRTATTGGATAGAAATCGGAATTTACAGGAAATAGATTTACAAAATCAGAAACTAGAATAACTATATTTATTTGTGTATAATACGACCCTACCCCCCTCCCTTTTTTTTGAGCTTAAAAAGCATAAAAAATTTAATCCTCAAACTACCTCCAATTTCATTCAGACTTCAAGATTTTTCAGCCTTTGCAGTCTTTATACATATCAGTAAAATGATTATTGGACTGTTCATTTTATTTTAACATATGTACTAAAAGGTATTTTGACAACAAATTTATAGCTGTAGCAGCATTATATGAATACTGGCATTTTACACGTAGTCCACCAGGATGCACCAACACAAAAGTCAGAGACTTCACATGAGATTTGGACCATCTCCTGGGGGAAAGCAGATTACTTCCTACTCGCGAGGGCCCCCTCTGGTGGGGAAACATTTTTTTCGGGGATACAAACTTTTTCAGAACATCGGTATACGGCCGCCATTACAGATGAACATGTGTTTGTTGTTGTTTGAAGAGCGGCCCGGTCACACGCTGATGTCATTAGTTTGTTATTACTAAGGTGCAGGACTCCTTTTTTCCCCTTTTGTTCACATCATGTCACCTGCCTGGATCGGTCATCTCGCTCTGAAGAACAGAGGAGTGTCAGAGGGTAAGCTCGTTTCAACTGCTTTTTACGACACTGTCTCATTTCCGGACTCAATTTTGTGAATGAAGCCGATATTTCAGTTAAAATACATAAGTAAAAATATTTATCCAAGTATAGTACTACCCCCCAACTTTATAGATGATTTTATGGACTTAATTTTACGTATTATACTTGTATAAATACCGTAGCCTAGCAATCTCTGGCGCCTCCTTACCAGTGCCACGTTACCATCAAAACTTTWATCTGAGCTTGAGCTGAAAGGAAAGGGATGTAAAAGAAAACAAAAACAGACAAATAATCCRCTTAAAGTCCAGTCTGCTTCTACCTCAACTCATCTAAAAAAAAAATCATCTCTTTGACACTTTTAGCTACTAGTTTGGTTTTGTTTACAGCTACGGTTTTTTGGGAGAGAGAAAAAAYGCGAGGATCTGTTCAGGAAGTAGAAAGTGTTTTCATTCTAAGGCATGAATGATGAGCATTTCTGACAGTCGACTGAGTAACGGGTCACTGGAGCTACAGGTCAAATGACAGTACAGATGCTCCCACCGGTAAGTAGTGCATTCTGGGATACCTAAGTAATCCCCCTCAGCGAAGGCTCTGGGGTGGTCCGGTCCATCTTCTGCCCTAGAGCTTTCTGTGAGTGTGTCCTGAGGCAGCACTAATGATTGTAGGTAACCCGACCTACACTATTGTCATCCCCATGAACATGCATGGTGAGGCCTATCCATTTCCTCCACTGCAGGAGGAAAGAGGCTGGGTGGGCAGAGGCACGCAGTGAAAGACGGCACTAAATCGCTGTAGCTGACTCGTGTTTTTAAAACGTTGACATTTGGCATCTCACAATGCGCCTCTGTTTAGATGTAGAGATGAAGTTCATGTCCTCGGTTTAGAAAAGAAACGRCAACTTCTGTATACAAAGTGTCATTTCTTCAGAAGCTTCACCAGTTCTTGGATTAAAATAAAACCTCTCTTCATCAAGAGAACAATTTTCATCCATCTTAAATCCAATTCTTGTACAAGAGGAGAATATGAAAAATGTAAATTCTGCCAGCACCAAATGAATGACGTTAAATGGGTTTTAAATTCTTGCATCAGGAAAACAAAACACTTGGGAGTGAACACAAGCGGGGCCTCATGAAGACTTTACTGCTTGGCGCAGACATCTAACGTGTACTGAATCCAGGTGCCGCTTGTCTGTAAAAGGAATGATGCAATAAAACGCTGCCTTGCAGGATTTTAATCCATATTATCAGATACTTTCTCAACCACATTACGCCAAATGACTTTACTTCAAATAACCATAATGACRATTCAAACAGTTACATTTCCAACAGAGAAGTTCTACTTAGAAATACTAAACAGGAGCAATTAATTTTAATGATAAAAGATTAAAACTGTGACAAAAAAAAGGCAAAACAAATTTTCTGAATGAGAGTTTAAAAGTCCAGCAGGATAAAGTGGAGAAAACAAGAGACAAATCAAGAGTTAAATAAACCCTGAGGCAGCAAAGTGACAAATTCTCAGCTGTTCGATTGAGGCAATAATTTTCTCAAGTTGCTTAGGAGTGCTTGAATGGATTCAAACGGCTGTGTCTGCAACAAACTCCTTCTGACGCACAGGTGCATTAACCATAGCAACCACAGGGGTTGAGGCAGGATCCCGACAGCAGGAATGCAAGCGTCTGAGATATCTTTAATACCTAAACATAGCCAGACAAAACTCCCCGTGCACCAGCTGCACCTTAGCGATACACACACAGCTCTACTTGGTGGCTATTAACAGTTTCTGTCCAGAAATGCTCTGAAATCCGAGTGCTGTTGCCAGCATCAAGTGGACACCCGCCCCTGCATTCAGAGCCACATCGCCTTCACACCCTTCAGACTCTGCAAACGGTGAACGGTTTATCCACCTGTCAGTCAGCTAAGAAAGAAACAACATCACGCATGTCGCAAAGGCCTAAAAAAGACAATAAACATACCAAATTCTTATAAAAACAAGCCTCAGCTAGCAGCCATGGGGGGGTTTACGTCTGTAAGAGCCAGACAGCTGGAGCTGCTGGAAGATCAGGAGGGATTCAGACGGATTCAGCAAGACTGGAGGAGAATGAAAAAAGGRATGTTTCTGTAAAAACAGCACTTGAAGAGGTAAATAAAGTGCAGGAGTGCAAAGGTGGCTTCTACTGAAATTTACTTAGAAAATAAAGTATGTCCTCATTATACAGGCAAAGTAAATGGCAGAAGTAGAAACTCATTTATTGGAAGCAGTTTTTTATCCAGGTCAACTCAATCTTTTATCACTGTGTTGCTTTAGATCGTTTTGTTGCTGCTGCTGTTCAGAAAAGCTGGTCGCTTAACTCAACCATGAAGATTTCATCCTAATTTCTGAGAAACACTGACATACTGCTAAATGCTACAGATATGACATTTATTTCTACACATATTCTTATTACAATTACTTTAAAAAACACTCATCATATTTTCTTTCCAACAGACTTAGAAAGATTTTAAGGTTGAATACTGGTTGGTGTTAGTGTTTTTTTTTAGCTCACTCACAATTAAAAAAAAGGAAAGAAGAAATCATTGACTGCACAGATGTTTTCTGCTGCAGCCTTTAGGAAACACAGCAGATGCTTTAATTTACAATATAATTTTAACAGAACAGGATTTTCCTTCAAAGCTGCAGCTACGCCAGTGTCTCCAGATATTCTCAAAGGACCAGAGTGTCCTTTGAGAATATCGTGGGGTCAATGATGCCTCTTGCTTTTCCTCACCTACAACTGTTCCTCACAGCTATCACTAGTGCTCTCTCCACCTGCAGTCAAACAAGATCAGGCACGTATGGAGAGGAGCTGGGCAAAAAAAAAAAAATCATTCTCAGAAGTAAAAGAAACCATTTCGCCGAGCAGAAACTGACAGGGCTGGTGCACCGAAGAAATTATTTATAATAATATCATCATAAAATAACTCCAGTGATCATTGATATATTGTTGAAAATGTATTTAAGGAAGGACTTTCTCCTTCAAGGTCAAAGTGACTTCCTACCAATAACGAGACAGGCATGGTGTGGTTTATTGCTCCAGTCTGCTCCTGTCTGTAGCAGCACTCGAGTGCAGCCTGCCTGCAGCATTTAACTGTTCCTGTCAGAGCCTAATGACCACTGCAGCCATCGCCTGCTGAGCATGCAGGCCCCACTGACAACACACAATGCAGCAACGTTTGCAGATAAAGTTGCAAATCTGTATTAAAGAAATACCCTCTGTAAGTTCTTACGGTGCGTGTGGAAGCATGTCGGATAAAGAAAGACAACTTTGATTAAGGAGGAGAAGGGAAAAATATCTCAGGGTGGGCGGGTAGGATTGTCAAAATCTCATGTCTGGGCTACAAGGACGCTCTTTGTCATTAAGGGGAAGTGCGCTCGCCTTCTTTGTCTCCAATTAGATTTTCTGAAGAACAGCAAGACGTGTTTAAGAGGGGGTTTAAAATAATGACCCTTCATCATGCAGGGAAGGCCAGAGGCAGAAGCAGAGTGGGGGGAGAGGAGAAAAAATGCCAGAAAATGTTCAAAGTGAGCTCTGCAAAGTGCCAAGTCATAACAACAGATGCTATTGAAGATGGCGGGAAAAAGATGCCGTGGGGTAATGGTGGTGGTGGGAGAGGGAACATGAGTAAAGAGGAGGAGGAGGTTGTTAAAGGTTGGCTAACAGGTGCTGAAACAACCACAGCAGATAAATGCCTTTTCCTTAAAACAAGCCGGAATCTAAGCTTTCTAGCTGAGAAAACCACATTTTCCCAGCATGAAGAGTTGAGGAAAGTACAGATCTCCGTCAGCGGCGGCTCAAATACTTTACTCCTTCTGTGCAGAGCCGTTTTGGCTTCAAGTGACGGAGCGCGTCTGACTCATCTTCCCATTATTCCAGACGGCAAATTCCTTCCATTGTACTTCAGTCCTGCTGCCACATTATAGTTACCCCACTGACCACAACATGGCAGCCTGTTAGAGGTCTTATCAGCCCCTCTGCCTTTAAAATCATGTCAAATAAATGTCACCGGGCTCATTAAGGATTATAGGACTAACATTCTGTGGCTCCATGAACCAATCTTCTCTCCTAAAATCAGTTTCRTTCACTTAAACTGTGCCTTGATTAAAGGAATGAAAGAGACAAATAATACCAGCTGCCAATAGTGCTCATATATGTTAATGCCTACTAATTTAACAACTAATAAAAGCAGGTCGACATCCAGTCAGGTCAAAGCTAAGCACCTAATAAACATTTTAAAAAGTAGAAATAGCTTTCAAAAAAAGAGCGCTGTCTGTAGACTTTCCAGAGAAAAATCTTTATTCAAGATTGGAAAAAATAAAAAACCTCTTGTGAGCATTTATTATTGCTTCTCAGTAGCAGCTCCCTAGAAATATCTGTATATTGCAGCAACTTTAGTGAAATCCAATGTGACTGTATACCAAAAATATATCCTGCACCTGGCTCTGTTCATAAGACAGTATCTATCAACACAAAATAATACATAAAAAGGCCTCTATAGTCACACCTACATCCAGCCTCTTTTCCACCTTTTTTTACTGTTTGAAGAACAAGAAGAGCAGCACCACAGTGACCCCACAGTCTAGAAACATCTTAGTGTACCTGCAGACTAGTGCAGACAGACCTTCAAAACTAAATTTATATTATCTGAACAGCAAACATTACTTTAGGTGGCTTTATCTATCCAATTTAATGGAACCATAAACAAGGCTTAAGATTGGCTAATCTAAGAGATGCTACAGCTGTATCTAATACGAAATGTCTTTCTTTTAACAGGTATTGAGTTTTTATGCAACTGATAATGAAGAAAACAGTTCCTCACCATATACAGTATAAAACACATTTTCACTGATTTTAAAACTCCCTAAATCAAATGTGACTTCACTTTAGGGCTGCCACGATTAATCGACGACTAATCGATTATTAAAATAATCGTTTGTGGCAGCCCTACTTCACTTTAATTATTTTAATGATTTGAAAAGTTGACAGAAACACCACTATGTCTGCAAACTTGAAAAAGTAAAAACTTATTGTAGTCTGAAATTTAACATTTGAGAAAACCAAGTAAAAAAAAAATAGGCCAGTGTTCCAAAAATAAAGGCATGCTAGTTAACTGCAACATTTATGACGTCTTGAAAAATCCTAATAATTTTCCAGCATCAGTAGAACAATTAAATTGGCAGACAGCACAGAAACTGTCATCTTTGGTGAACACCAAACAGTGTCCCCAAACACCTCTGGATCCCATGCATGAATTATTGCCTATTCCTTAACCAGAACATGTTTGTGATGTTTGCACTAATTTCTTGTCTTTATGCTTGTATATCAACAAGGTTTATGTTTTATACACTGAAAACGTGCAGATTTTTTACTTAAAGTCAGCTGTTTGACTTTCAGAGTACTAAATAAAAAGCTAACTAATCGTATTATTAAAAATGAGCTATTCTGATGCCTTTATTCACTGACAGGTGAACGGCAATCAAACCAAATGATAAAACCTCCAAACATCCTGTTTGACACTGTAAGAACAGGAAATGACAGCGAAACTGAGAAGTTCTTTGTAAACTGTTGTAAATGTGAAGGCGGCACATCTTGATGAAGAAGGCACACTATTAGAAAAATGATGATGATGATGCTGAGGCTCAAAGCCAACTTTTATCCCAAATGTGTAACAAACTCACGATTAAAAGGTTTCTGGGGTCCCTACAGCAACAACAGGGTCAGATTCCCTAAAAAAGATGGACTAAAAAGCCTTCAAACTTTCCATTCAGAGAAAGCGAGCTGCATAGAGACTGTTTCCTTTATCCATTTTGTTTACAATTTTCTGCAAAGTAACCTAGGGTAAACCAAAACAAAGAGGTAAAACCACTTAAGAAAAATGTATGAATAAACTCAAATACAACTGGAAGGGAGCAGGAAAAAGATCAACAGAGAAGTAGAAGACATTAAGGAACGAATGAAGGAAAAAAGAAAGAGTGCAAGTTTATAGCAGAGAAGCGGCAGTGTTGCAATAATGGGAGTATTTAGTAAATAACAGTAAACAGATCTTTGCAGCTGGATGGTCCATGTAAGGTTTGTGTGTTCCTATTAAAACCCAGGGGGCCAAGATAGTGACAGAGCACCTGCATTAGAAGAAGAACTGAAAAGAAAATAAGAAAAAGAACTGAAAGCAGAATGAGAAAAAGAAAACAGCTCATGAATACTGACAATTTAATAACACTTCATAACATTAGTGCTAAACATCAAAAGAGGGAATGTGCTAATATCTGCAAGTTAGGAAAAAAATAGGCCTTATTTTATCTGCCATTAAAAACAAAAAACACCTGACGTAAAAAAAAAAAAAGAAGCCCAAGTTAGATAGCTGTCAAAAATGACCCATTTACATTAAATATTTCCAAAAAGTTGCCCATCGCAGCAATGAAACAGGAATTTTACCAACCTTGGGAAGTACAGGTGTAGGTTTCTTGCTCTTCTTCCCTGACGGATCATCCAGCGTGTCTGGTTCAAAGGTGTAAAGCTCAGCCAGCTCGTTCATGGTAAAGTGCCTCTCGATCTGCTGCTGGTCCACAACCCGGTATGACAGAGACTGCTTGGTTACCTGCCGCTCATAGATCTTCTCCTCCATTGTGCCCTGGAAGAAAAATATTTAAACTATTTAAATAACAATAAGAAGAACAACTTGTTGAAACTATGTGCCCTAAAATCTAGGAATTACAATAAAAAAAGACATATCCTGCTTTTAAACCCTTCTTCACATTTAAATCATTCAGCTGGAGGTCTATAAAGTAGAACTGCAATACTTTGCTCTGAAGTCCTCGTTATTGTAACTCCACAAGCCCCTCTTTCACTTCTTTTCTGAGGCGTGCCTCAGATCAGCTCGTTTTGAGGCTGTCTCTTTAAATCAAACACATCCTGCACGCCCTCCAGCTTCCAGACTGGTCTATTCTAGTTCGATAGAGGGGGTTTACGACTATATAGCTGCGCAGAAACGTTTCATTTACAAATGAATTAAAAGATGTCAACAAGGGAAGACTTGCCCATCCAGCCTCACATGTTGGAGACAGAGTCTGACCCAGAGCCAGAGGAGAAAGACTAAAGAAACCTGGACAGGTTGAAAAATATGACTCAAACAGAATATAAAAATATCTGCGCAGCACTGGGAGAAACTAAATTAAAATTTTCTGCACTCAGAGACTTCAAGGATACAACAAAATGTATTTAACGGTTTAAAAAGTAGATTTTGAATGARGTCTTCTTTAACAGGGTAACATATTAGACTCACAAAAAGCTTTAATACGATTATCGGCTCACAACCAAAGTCTGGGTGGGAAAACCGCTCACCTCGGCAAGTAACCTGTAGACGTAAACAGGTTTGACCTGACCGAAGCGATAAACTCTGAAGATACTCTGGATGTCGTACGAGGGGTTCCAGGAGGCGTCAAAGATGATGACCCTATTGGCAGCCACCAGATTGATGCCAAGGGAACCAGCTCGTGTTGAAATGAGGAACAAACGACCTCTGTGGGCGATAGAAGACAGGAATTATCTTTGTTTCAGAGTCTTTTAAAAGCATTTTTATTTTGACGGTTTTCAGTGKGATTTTACGATTTGGTGGCGTTTCGCTGAGAGCACTGCACCTTGTGTTACTGGTATCATTAAATTCTTCGGCCCATTTCTTCCTGGCGAGAGCGTTGGTGGAACCGTCCAGACGATAATAATCAATGTTCCTGAACCACTTGCCTTCACCTTAAACAAACCAGAAAAAGAAGAAGATTAAAGAGGAGCTCTGTTTCGACATCTCTTCACCGTCTACGATCCATTTTTAACCGCACAAGTCGCCATCGACCACATCTTTTTCCTCTCAAGAAAACATTTTGTTTTGGATATTATCAGTCAACAAATAGATGGCGGCGTTGGTCCGCAGCCAGCCGTGTTTAGCATTCAACATGGCCAACCAGCCTTCATAACCAACATTTCAGTATGTTTCCAATTACGGCACTGTGATCTTTTCATTACAAATTACAAACCCTTGAGCAAACTTTTTTTTTTTGTGGAATAAAAAGTCAAGGTCTAATCATTTTCAAAACGAAAGCAAAAACAGCTGCTGTGGTTTAATTAGGAACATGACCTTACAACAGCAGCGATGTGTGTGTGTGTGAGCGCCTGTGTGTGTTTAGGGATAATAAAGCACACCAGCACGAAGGAGAATACATGTTGCATGTGGAATGCATCTTTTTTGCATTCCCAAAACTTGGTGGTGAAATAAATATTATAATGACACATTATTTAAAACAAAACAGTGTAAAAATGTGGCTCCTTGATCTCAACCTAAAAGTCAAAAGGTAGATCTTGGAAGAGTTTATTGCAAAGTTTTCATATACCTTTATATGGAGTGGGTTTGCTWTCTTCTTCATCAATTTTGCAAGACATCTCCAAGAAATCTTCAATCAGATCAAGAGAAATGAGAGACTGACTGAACACCAACCTGAGAAAGAGAAAAAAAATAAAGATTATTGTGATAAACCCACCAACCAAAACCCCAATACTTAAACAGGAAAATGTGAGAAAAGTTTTGTTTTTTGTGCATGAAGAACAAAAAAAACGTACACTTTATCTTCCACTTCCTCTGCCATGCGCAGGACCTCAAAGAGCAGCATCATCTTTCCAGAGTGTTCCAGGATCTCAGCATCAGCATCAGTGACAAACTCCTTGTGCCAGTCAGCGGAGCGGGGACTTGCTGGAGTCGAGTCCTGGGCTGGTAGAGACACGAAAACAGGGAGATCAGAAGGAGGGGTCACTGACCACGCTCTGATAACAGAGTCTGTTTTGGTTGAGGAAACCAGAACTTGAACATGAAGCTCGATGGCAAATATTCTGGATCAAAAAATGAAAATAGTGAGTTTTTTTTAATCAAATGCAAATGAGGGCAATCAAAGAGAAATATTACTAAGTGGAGGTAAACCCAAATATTAAAACAAAACCTTTAAAAAACTGTTCATATTTTAAACAATATCTGATCTTTGTGTTCTGGCTGAAATACATCATCTCCAATAACCGTTCATTTTTTGTGTCCATATATAAAAAATTTCAAGTTCTACAATAAATTCCAGTTTGTTTGCTCAGTTCTGTGTTTTGTCTGRGTTTTTAGCATCAGTTGTAGGCCTCACAAGTTTGTGTCTCCTCGATGAGTCACTCTGGTTTGGTAATCGTTTAAACACACTTGTGCTGGGCGGTACATCGGTTTGTACCAAATACCGTTTTTATTTTTGTTATATGAATTTTCTGAATACCGACATACCGGTTTAAATAGCCTGAACACGTGCGGAATGTTTCGTCGTGGCTGCTGTTTCATGGGGGACACTTTTCCTCGCTGCACCGCTATGTGCATTAGCATGCTAACGTTATTGTTGCAGAGGCGGTTAGCGATTCCGCTTCTTGGCTGACGTTAAACAGGGTTCATGCATGTTTCGGTAAGTTAAATTTAAGACCTTTTAAGACCATTAGTAATGACATTTAAGACCAAATCGACACATTAACAGAAACATTCAAATGGTCCCAGAAATTTTATAATAGAAACCTTTTTTTGCTATCAATTTAGTTATTAAAGAATATTTAATTTTAATACAAGAACACTAAATTATTTGAATGAAATGGTCATATCTGACTGCTGTGAACCGCTTTCAACCGAGTGAAAAAAATCACTGATATCAAGTCAAGTCTCATTGAAAATACACTTTCCCATGTTTAAACAACAAGCAGTGGACATGACTGAACTTCTGTTTTTGAGCAGGTAAATAAGTCACTATGTGGGGGGTTGTAGTGGCAAAGAGGTCAAAAACATGGAAGTAAACTGTGCCATTTTTACCTGCAGTTATCATGGGATTTGTAGTTTAATCATGACCAGTAGCAAACTTAGCACCTCATGAAGACAGATTGTGTCAACCTCCGATTACGACTCTTAACTTTCTTTCTTTATGCAGCCAACGGTTCTCAGGAATGATCAAAAGTAGAAAAAATTAAGACTTGACAAAATTAAATTTAAGACCTTGGGTGAAAATCTGGGCGTTTTTAAGATAAAATTTTGATTTTCAAATTTTAGACTTTTTAGACCCGGCATGAACCCTGGTTTAAAAAAAACATCCCATTTTTGCCGTCGCTGAATCTAGTAAACACCTCTTCAGTGATGTGCACGATTAGATATAACACACGACTTTAATATGGAGACTTGGAGACGCATGGAGACTTTAGCGTGCTTCTATTGTGAAAAGCCGGGGGGGAAAAGGTTTGTAGTGGAATTGAGTTGACTGGTGTACAAGGTGAGTCGTGCTGTTTATCTTTATTAAATAACATAAAACAATGGACCCGATAATCTTTTCTTAACCTRCCTCTTTCATGACCGGACCAAAATGCATTACTACTGTCTCCAACCAGGAAGAGAAGAAAAGACGTTTAGAGGAGGGAAACAGCGACACAGATAGAGGTACAGTAAACAAAAAAAGTTAATAAGCAGTGTTTGTACATTTTATTATCAGCTGACCTGTGATGAAAAGAAAAATACCGTGACATACCGTGAAACCAGTGTAAATGTTGAAAATACCGTGATATAAAATTTTGGTCATACCGCCCAGCACTAAAACACACTTGATCATTTTACTTGACAGAAGTTTCTTATTTAATTGTTGAGGAAATAAGAACAGCAGTCTGCTGACAGATCGTCCTTCCTGCTGCACCAATAACCTGGTTGTCATCTGGTAAACTACAGCGATGCACCGAGACACAAACTTACGTTCCTCAACGGGCTCTCTTCTGTTTCGACCTTCTCCTTTATTGCCCCGAGAGCTGCTGTTCCACTCCTTGATGACCTCCACGTCATCGCTGTCCGAGTCATCAGACCCCTTCTTTTTTCCTTTGCCTTGCTTCTTTTTCCTGTTGGAAAAGTCGGGTAGAGTTGCAGATCTAAAACACGGTGTAGTTATTTACGGCTGAGACTGTGTAAGCACAGAAAGTCTTTACTTTTTGGACTTCTCATCCTCAGAGGTCAAACTCATGGAGGATTCATCCGTTTCTGAAGCGATGAAGTCATCCATGCTGTCTTCGTCGAAGAAGCCCTGCAGCAGAACACACTTGTGTGAAGACGTGTGGTTACATACGGCGGGTCGTACCAAACAGGCTCCACGGCTGGATCATTGGTGGCACAAATGATCCTTAAGGCTCAAGTTCTGCTGGAGTAGCAACAAGCGTGTAGCCTGATCTGTCAGCAACACATTACTCCAGTTTTCCCCACCGTGTGTGCAATTTGCATTCATGTATTCCAAGTGTGGTTTAGTCTCTTCTTCCCCAGCCTTACCCTGTTTTCTTTACTGATGTAGTCCAGCTGAAGGCACCAGGGATGGGTCCAGATTCTGCTCAGCATCTGGAAATCCTGGAAGAGTTTTGTTCCCGCGCGGCCTCGGCCCCCTTCCAAAGCGTTCCCCACACCTGCACGCACGGGGGGAAAGTATAAGAAGATGGATGTGCGCTTGTTTCAAGCACACCATGCTCTCAATCTCAGATGATTTTGGAAAACACAAAGTGATGAAACTTTAACCTTGATGTTTAACTGTGAGCGTTTTATTCTGATTTATTTAAAAGTCAAACAAACACACATTTCTGATTTTATAGAATGTCAGAAACTAACTATCCACCTTTCAAAAAAAAGGTTATGTTTGACTTTACATAAGAAGCAGTGAGCAATCAAAGCTGTTCCCACCCTGATCACTGATTGAGGGTCTTTAATCTGAAGACCCCCACTGTGACAGGCCACAGTCACAACATCAGCACTGAGGACAACTTGGCCTTACGAGACACAGCAGATACCGCAGGTCTTTCCCCCACGTATCAGCTCTCCTGTTCTTTGGTTTTGGTGTAAAACCTCTGGCCCCTACTCCCTCCAGATTTCTCTCTCTCTTTTTTTTATGCCCCCACGTCTCCCCCTCTGTTACCCCACACCCTCTGTGTTCCCCCTCTCTCCCAGAGCTCTTCATTAGGGAGAAACGTGGGAAAGTGGGCTTAAAACCCGCCTGCGGCACAGTGCCAGCTGCCACTCCACACACACACACACACACACACACACACACACACACACACACACACACACGTCCTGAGCCACATTCTGACAGGAAAGTCCACTAAACTACTTAACAATGCATCACAGAAAAGTGCGAGTCCAGAAAAGCCAATTTATCTGAAAACCTTCTGTGATGAAATGACATCAGGTAACAAGAGCACTTTTATTAGGAACAGGTCTCCTTCAGGGTTTAGCCCAGTCCTGGTCTAATAATATTACCAAGTTTTCTTTTAATTCAACATTAGGCCGAGACAATTAGACCTGACGTTGGAAAATCCTCACTAGTGGCCCCTGGAGGCCTTGTCGCTTCTAACACACACACACACACATAGGTTTGTTTTTATATCCCCGTGGGGACCGTGGATTGACTTCCATTCTATTTTTTTTGGTACTTTTATATCTTAACCCTGACCATTTACCCTAAAATTAACCTCACAGGTACCTACCTGAACCTAAAACTAACCTAAACTCAATTCAAACCTTGGTCCTAAAGCAAACCCCCAACCTGAAATTAGCATCTGTACTTGCGGGGACCGGGCTGAAGGAAATTTTGTAACTGATTAATTGAATGTTAGATGCAGTTTTGTATCTTTTACTTTCTGATCATTGCAGCTTTAAAGGCCATAACAGAACAAGAGTTGGTGTGTCTTATCATGTGTTCTTTCTTTAGTCTAAACAAGAATGAGTGACGTTCTGATGTAAAAGGTAACACCTCCAGGGATGTAACCAGGAAGAGATGAACATTATAATGTCAATTCATTATTATAATATATAGAAGTTGTCAGTGTTTTGCAGAGTGTCTGCTCAGAGCAGAGCTCCTGTGTTTGTTTTGATTCAGCCCAAGTTCTTGAGGCCTGTGTGCTGTACTGTGAACCTGATTGAAGTCAGAAGATTAAAAATAAAGTTTTAAAGAAGAAATCCAGTGGATTCCTGTTTATTCAGACATACCTTTTGAACAACGCATATTTTTCCTACAGGGCACTGGCGCTCACAAGGCTGCCTTTATCTGGAAAATGGTTCCCATGATGTAGCAAAAAACATGCCCCCCACACACGCACTAAAAATGAGAAACCCAGCTATGTCAGATTCAAACACGGTTCTCACCTGTAAAGTGCTCCAGGTAGTGTCTGTAGAGCTTACACTGGATCGGAGTCATTCTGACCGATAACACGTACTCGTGTTTGGGAGGCAGGAACTTGGTGAGTGCCGTGTAATCTTTTCTCTGAACGAGAGCAAAAACAAACCATCAGCTCACGAGGGGAAAAAAAACAAAAGGAAGTGATTAAGAAGTTGGGAGATTTTTACCTGGACACAACCAGCGAGCATCTCATAGAGAATGTGAGCCCTCTTCTTCATGATCCGCACATCGTGTAGGGTGGAATCAGCACACTGACCGTTCTGAATTGGATTGATGAAACGATTTCTGAACTCCTTAACTGACCCAAGAAGGTTTTCCTTGATGAAGTTCACCATGCAGTGGTCTGTGAGGAGGAGGCGAAGATTAGACATTTAACTTCTGACACCCAAAACATTTCCTATTAAAATCAGATAATTGTCTGAATTTAGTCACGTTGTTCAGAGGAACTAGATCGTCTCACATTCAATAAGGTTGTTTTGTAGAGGTGTTCCAGTCAGAACAATCCTCCTCCTCGTCTTGATGGAATTCATTGCTTTGGAAACAGCTGAAGCTTCATTCTTCAGGATGTGACCTTCATCACAGATCACCAAGTCTGGACCTAAAAGAATAAACACAAAGGACAATCATGGGTTAGTTTCAAACAAGCAATACAGATGAAACAATACAAAAAATTAAAATGCATTGCCAACAGCAAGATATGAAGATATTTTAGCCTACTGTAGACATTAGTTTTCTACAAATCAAATGAATAAATATTCAACTAGTTGTACTGTCTGGGGCTGGACATTATGTTTGCTTCAACTTAATGGGATCATTTGAATTTTAAATACTATTTTTTGTAAGAGGAAATATTTTTTTTCTAGCATCTGAAAAAAAAGGCTGAAGGTTTAAAGTTTAGTTTGAAATTTCCTCAGTCAATAGCCG